CTGAAATATCTACAATGCAAGATTAAAGAAAATTTTCTTTTATAAATATAGAGGTTGAATATTCACTGAATTCTGATCATTCTAACTCTCTTATGCATATATAGGTTCATCTATTTCTATAGATCAAAAAGTATATAAATGCAATTAATGTATAAAACAAACAATTTAAGATTGTTACAAAGTCACTGCAGACTAATTGTCACATAAGCTTGTTCAACAATACTCTAATAGTGTACAGCATCAATAGAAGCCATGAAGACATTTCTATAAAATCAACGTAGTCTCTATGTTTGTTGTATACATTTTGATATTCTGTTATTATATGAGGCTACATGCTAACGAAACTGTAAGTTAGTTTTTTTTTTTTAAAGAATTCTTCCCTGAGCATGTAGAAGTCTAGACTTTTTCTGTGATAAAATGGAATACATTCATTTTGGTAGAAGTACGCAGCAGAATATAAAACGAAACAGAGCTGATATGAAAGTACTTAATTCAGTTCTGAAGAACAAGCTTCTTAATACTTTCAGCATCAATAAAAATGTAACTTTCACCCGAGCCTGTCTGGTTGGCTGCTTTCAGAGGCGACTGACTGAACATCCAGGCTCCCTGGGTGCCTTCTTTTCTGCAGTAACTATGCTAAAGTGTGTGTCTCAGTAATAAGGCAAAGCTTTATGACAATCATTTTCTGGATGGTAATGCAATTCAATGGTCTCACTACAGTCTAAATATATACCCTGGTGGCTACTTTGAAGATGCTCACAGCTGAAAGGCTAAGTTGATTGGGCATGCATCGTCTCTGCCACTTAGTTTGTCTTGTAAAGTATTTGTCTCTTTCACTGAGTTCTGCTTCCTTTCCAACTGAAAGTCACTTATCTTTCTAAAACAAAAGCAAATATACCAAGACATTAATATGCCTATAGTTTCAAACCACAAATAAATTTTCTATCAAAAGGGGAATTGAATGTGGTAAATAACTCCAGAGACTACTAATTCTTTTCATCTGGTTTCTCGGAGTTACAAGTATGATTTCAGCAACACAAATGAAAGACATTGCAGTTTATGCTTAGAAAATTTTATGAATATTATGAAGGCAAGAAAATACCCAAGAGAGAGAAAATGATGAAAAATAAAATGAAAAATGAAAGAGGAAAAGTATTAAGCAGAAATAATATTGTGATTTATTACAAGAGTTAGGTTTATTTTTTTTTACAAATATTCACATTTTAGATATATACATTAAAATAAGATTTATTTGTATAGAAGTTGGGTTCTACAACTCTGAATTTTGATATGTTATGGTCTTCTGTAATGATCTCTGTTGCAAAGAGAAGTTTTCTTGATGAGGGGTAAGAATCATACTTAGCTCTGGGTATAAAGACTAATATTTAGAATATAGTTGGGGAATATGCTAGTTAACTACAGTGGTGATTCTCCTTCAAGATCCATGAATTAACTGGCCCTAGGCAGTTGGCTGGGTTCCCAGTACCAGGCATGATTTCCCTGTTGTCAAGTGGGTTTTAAAGTCCAATTATAGACCGGTTGGTTGCCACAAAGTTACGCATGCTGCATGTTTCTATTGCTCAGTTTTGGTTTCTCCCCCATGCCTGTCGTTGCTGTGGTTCCTAGGCATCAAAGCTGGTTAGGAAAACAATTACTCTACCTAAGTCTCAGGGATTGTTGTGGAAAAGCAGGTGGAATGACTTTAGAATCCAGAGGAACATGGAGTTGACTATAAGATTCTGTCTTCTAGGCGTATCACAGCTAGATTCATAAAGTCTCACCATGATTGTCAACACATGGGCTGAACAAGCACAATAACAATAGCTATGTTAGTGTGGATGGGGAAAAGCCCACTAAGGCTCAATTTGATGCAAAGAGCAACCTGGTGTGGGAAGTCCTTCTGTCAATGTGTTGTTTTTATTGGCTAATGAATAAAGAACTGCTTTATGCCCATGGCAGGGAAGAACAGAACCAGGTGGGGAAAGTTAGGCTGTATGCTGGGAGAAAGAAGGGCAGAGTTAAGAGGGAAGCCATGGAGCTGCTGGAGACAGATGCTGGCAATTTTAAATTGTAAGCCACAACCTCTTGGTGATATACAGATATATAATAGAAATGGGTTGAATTAATATAAGAGTTAGCCAATAAGAAACTAGAACTAATCAGCCAATCAGTGATTTAATTAATACACTATCTGTGTGATTGTTTTGGTTCTAAGCTAGCTGGGCAGCTGGGAACCAACAAGCGGCATTTCCCCAGACAGCTACCAACAACTAAGTAATGCCAAGAACAGGAGAAATAGTTTTCTCTTGGAGAAAAGAATATTAATTAGTTATCCATTACAAAATGGGGCATGTTTGTGTTTGTGTGTGTGTGTGTGTGTTCATGTGTATAACAGTAATTAAGAAGAGGACCAGAATTTGAAAGAGACCTAGAACAAGTATTTGGAAGGGTTTGGAGGTGGAAAGGGATGGGGAAAAGATATAATTATATGACATAAAGATAAAATATATAATTTTAAATGACTTTTTTGTATTTGTGTGTGCCTAAATAAATTTATGTGCAATGCATGCATGCCAATGGCATTGGAGTATGGAAGGGGACATTAACTCCCCAGGAGCAGGAGTTTCAAAGGTTTGTGAGCCACAGTGTGTGTGCTGGACCTTTAATTCTGAATCTTCTGAATTATCACTAAGAAAATCTGTTATTTTTTTTAAGAACTTTAAGTTGGGTATATAAGGAGTGGGAAAGTATTTTGAAGGACTTGGGGGAGGGGGAAATATGATCAAAATATATTTATATGTAATTTTTAATCATAAGAAATATAAGAAAATTTCAATACTATTATAGATAATTGGCAAAATAAAGGGTAACACTTTCAAGGAAATTTCAACACTGAAGTGTAAAATAAGGAGGGTAGGAGTAATACTATCAAGAAAAATTGATTTTTGTCTATGTGTTCACAGTAAAGCCCAATGATCTTAATATTTTAATATGTATGAAATCAGTATAAACTGTCTGTATTATATGACAGTATACATTATATCATGAGTATCTTGAGAAAAATGTTTTAGGGTCTAAGAAGGTGTTTTAAGGTATGTATAAAGGTTTGAGGACACAAAGAAAATGACTTAAGGTGTGTAGATGCAAATTACAGAGGTCTCAAAACAGGAAAGCTTAGACTGTGGGAGTATGAGAATGCTTTGAGGTGTATAGATACAACTTGTGAAGGTATATGAAGGTGGCTTAAGGTACATTAAAAATGGTTTTCAGCTGGGCCGTGGTGGTGCATGCCTTTAATCCCAGCACTCGGGAGGCAGAGACAGGAGGATTTCTGTGAGTTTGAGGCCAGCCTGGACTACAAGAACTAGTTCCAGGACAGCTAGGACTATTACACAGTGAAACGCTGTCTCAAAAACCTTCCTGCCAAAGCAGATCTTCAATATTATATAACTATATAGTACTGAAATGTTTATAATGTAATATAATGTAATGTAATGACTCTGTGTGTGTGAGTGTATGTATGTATGGAGCAGCATACTATTTAAGAAACAAAACATACACTATTTAAGAAACAAAAATAAAATAGCTGGACAGTGTTGGCATATGCCTCTAATCCCAACACTCGGGAGGTACAGGGAGGCAAATCTCTGTGAGTCGAGGACATTCTGGTCTACAAAGTGAGTTCTAGGACAGCAAGGGCTGTTAATTTTTTTTTTTTTTTTTTTGGATTTTTTTGAGACATGGTTTCTCTGAAGCTTTTTGGTTCCTGTCCTGGAACTAGCTCTTGTAGACCAGGCTGGCCTCGAACTCACAGAGATCCGCCTGCCTCTGCCTCCCGAGTGCTGGGATTAAAGGCATGCGCCACCACTGCCAGGCTGCAAGGGCTGTTATTTAGAAAGACCCTGTCTCAAAAGATAAGAAAAGAGAAGTGTGAGTTAAAAAAAAAGTATAGTGTTGTCAATATTTGACTAAAACTATACATAAATGATACACGCATAAGCCGGGTGGTGGTGGCACAAGCCTTTAATCCCAGCACTTGGGAGGCAGATGCAGGTGGACCTCTGTGAGTTCAAGGCCAGCCTGGTGTTCAAGAGCTAGTTCCAGGACAGGCTCCAAAGCTACAAAGAAACTCTGTCTCGAAAAACCAAAAAATAAAAAATAAAAATAAAAGGACACATGCATAAATAATTCTGCTCAAACAAACACTGCCTTTTACATCAAAGTCGGGGGATAACTAGACCTATACTAAGTTTACTGAGGATGAATATTGAATTAAAAATAATGTTTCCAGAACTCACCAGAACATAGCTGTCTTCAATGTACAAGTTCATGAATAGAAGGCAAACGACAAGAACACCCAAGAAAGACACTGTAGAACGTTTTCGCAAGCATCTCATTTTATCCAGTATTTGAAAAATATATTTCATTTGATAAAATTTAAACATCTTCTCCTGTGAAAAAGAAGCAAAGAATTACTTACAATTAACTTGGAGTACGAAGAGTATAATCTTATCATTCACATACTTCAGCTAAAATTTCATTTCAAAGTTTATACATAATATTTACATATATATATATATCATCTATTGTTACCTATAAAGACAGCAAATGGATTAAAAGTAGAAGAAAGGAAACAATATATTTTTTGAATAATTACTTTTTTTTAAGATAGTAAATGATAACCTATAGTTGAATATAAATTGTTCACCCATCTAGTTTAATTTCATAACTGGGAATTACAGGATCTCATTAAAGTAACAAAAATTTGAGAAATGGAGGAAGAAAGAGACATACAGCCGGGGAAGTGTTAAACCTATAACTCAAAGTTAAGATAAAGGCTTGCCAAAGTTTAAATACCTTCCTTCTCACTTTTAGAATACCTAATAAAATTGATATGATTTATTAGACTGGGCATTTGTTCCTCAGGATATTTCTCAGTTTTTATGCTTCTAACTTGAAGTCTAGCTACTTCCAATTTCTCAATTATTCAGTATGATATATATATATAATTAAATAGTTATAGAGACATTCCTCCTTAATTCATAGTATAAGAAACACTGAAAGTCTAAGTTGAATATGCCTTAAAGTTTTAGATATAGCCCCCTGACTCCCATAGGAACTACTTTTTCACTCTCACCATTAAAACAGGGAATTATTGCTTGGAAATATTAGTAAAGGCTCAGGAGAGGCAGTTACTGAATAGAATAGCGTGAATCAATAGAACGAACCTCCCTCAGAACCTGTCCTTACCAATCATCATTGTTTCTAGACCTTTAACTATACTCAAAGTCTGCCAATCCCCTACAGATAATGTCCAAAGTGAGACCCAAGAAGAACACTAAGATCTTATAGGACTAATTAGTTTTCCAGTTCATGGGACAGAAATCTAATAGCACCTGTGAGAATAAATTTAAAGGATGTAGGAATATTTATGAAGAACATAAAGTTGGGTCAAACAAAATTTCTTAATATGGCCTACCTCGGCTCAAATATTATACTTAATTTTGCAGGAGTTAGAAAGGGTGCTAAGAGTTTTGATAATTGATTGCTTGGCTGAAAGGCAGATCAATAATGGGTTACCCTGAATGATTTGTTAACATAAAAGGAAGGATCACAAGGTTTAGGGACACGAGATTTCTAGCTATAGCATGAAACGCATACTCTGGCAGAGTGTGGAAGGTGTGTCTCACTGATGCCTTGAGAAATCTGTCTGTAGCTGATTGGGTGATTGGAGAAAGCAACATCCATATTTATTTTTTATTACTCAAAAGTTACAGTGGTGACTTTAGCCATCCCTAAAAGGCAATGAGGGCAATTGAAACTCAGGGTTCAAGTGATGACAACCATCCAACACAGTTAGGGTTAATGTCTTAAAAGTAACCAAAGTTTAAGATATAGTTTCAGTGTTTGAGAAAACATATTTATCGTAATACCTAAAAGGGAGTGTTGAACTGACTTCTCTAGGCTTTTTTTTTAAGGTTTATTTATTTATTATGTGGTATACAGTGTTCTGCCTGCACATGTGCCTGCAGGCCAGAATAGGGCACCAGTTCTCATTACCGATGGTTGTGAGCCACTATATGGTTGCCGTGAATTGAACTCAGGACCTTTGGAAAGTCAGCCAGTGCTCTAAACCGCTGAGCCATCTCTCCAGCCCTTCTCTATAACTTTCTATAAGAACACTAAGCAGCCACTCACCTTTCTCTTGCATCTGTTTGTAAAATTCTCTGCCTAGTCAGCTCAAGAAATTCTCACTTGGGTGTCCTTTCCTTGAGCCATAACTTAGATACTCTTGGAGGGAAGCTAGCCTAACCAACATATTTGTTTCCCTTTGTCAAAGTTCATTACTTTATTCTATTCTATCTATTCTGCTTGCTACCAATGTCTGAGGCTAGTGCTTCCTTCACATGTGCTAGACTATAGTTTGGGTTGCTTAAGAAAATTAGAAATGTAGCACTTATTTCTAACCATAGTCACAAATATATTTCTGGTAAGAAGTCTTGTAAAATTTCCTCTGCTTTCTTGAGAAGTTCTGCTTTTTATTTTCATGCTTGATTTATTGCTTACATATTCAGCCTGTTTTTGTTCCTATATAAATTAAATAGTAAGTAAATAAGCAAATGGACTGTTTGACTTACATGGTTGTCATTTTTTTTTTAGTTTTTTTTTTTTTTTTTGAGACAGGGTTTCTCCGTAGCTTTTTTGGTTCCTGTCTTGGACTAGCTCTTGTAGACCAGGCTGGCCTCAAACTCGCAGAGATTCCCGAGTGCTGGGATTAAAGGTGTGTGCCACCACCACCCGGCCAGGGTTGTCATGTTTTTTTAAATATTTTTTATTAGAATCAAACATCTTTTAAAGTTATCTACTCTTATTCAAACATCCAGGTATGAGTTGGAAAGTTTATCAAGAAACTGACTACCGTTGATCACTTGTATTGAATTTTAGGTTTAATTTTTAAACAGATGTAAGGAACATAGTATAAGGAGTGTATATGCCCAAGGCTACTTCCTACTTTCTCTCCTATCAGGTTCAGTGTACCTGGACATATGTTGAAGTTGATCCATATCTTGATAGAGAAACTCAGTGCTAGGGAAATTCTCAGAAATCCACAAGGATGATCTCGACTAAGACTCCTAGCAGTAGTGAAGAGGGTACATGAACTAGCCTTCCCCTGTAATCAGATTGGTGACTACCCTAACTGTCATCATAGAACCTTCATCCAGTAACTGATGGAAGCAGATGCAGAGATTCACAGCCAAGCACCAGACCAAACTCCAGGAGTCCAGTTGAAGAGAGGGAGGATGGATGATATGATCTAGGTAGGGGTTGATAGGGTTGATATCACGATGGGGAAAACCACAGAAACAGCTGATCAGAGCTCTTGGGAGCTCTGGAACTCTAGACTGACATCTGGTGTGACTGCATGGGATCTACCTAGGCCACCTGCATGTGGTTAATAGTTTTGTAGCTTGGTCTGTTTGTGGAGTCCTTGGCAGTGGGACCAGGATGTATCCCTGGTGAATGAGCTTAATTTTTGGAGCCCACACCCTTTGGTGGGTTGCCTTGCTTAGTCTTGATGCTGAGGGGAGGGGCTTGGTCCTGCTTCAACTTAATTTGCCAAGCTTTGTTGACTCTCCACAGGAGGCCCTCCCTTTTCTGAGGAGTGGAGCAGGGATGACTTAGAAGGGAGCATTTAATAATAGCAATGACAATTATGCATCATTCCCTTGTTAAAATAATAACAAGGAGTAACAGAAACCAGGCTCAAAGGGAGGGGGCTGATGCGTTTTCCAGAGGATTTGCTGGCATCTCTTCCTTCTGTGTCTGCCATGGTCATGTCTACCAGGAACACGCAGAGAAGATGGAGAGCTAGAAGAACGTGTTGCACTGTGATTGAATCTTTCCCTCGTTAACTGAAATGGATGTGCTGGTTTGACATATATTATTTGAGACCACTGATGATTATGTAGGTCAAATAATTTTACCCAGAGTGCAGATGGAGAGAACACATTTTAGTCTTACCAGCAGAGAGACAGACTGTGGACAGAAAACCTTCAGCAATTGCTGCAATGCTGATCATGAAATAAGGAAGCCTCCGGTGTTGCATCTAGTTTCTGGACAGTTACTCAGGATATCTGAGCAATCAACTCAAATAACCACTGTCTGGTTGCTACAAGGTGTGAAAGGGCTTCATCTTAGGGGCTGGCATGCTGACCTCTGCACTTTTCACAAATGAGAGTCAAATGATCACAAGGAAAGACGATTGTCAAGCTCACTCACTCTGCCCTTCTGTAAGCTTGACTCTATGTTTTGCTAACAGCACACTGGAAGCGGCAGGAAACTAAAATTCAACATCTATGGCGTGTAAACCCTTCCAGATATCCAGCCGTTAAACCGCTGTAATCTCACATTGAGGACTTTTGACATGATTGACAGGTTCTGGATAACCCGAATAAAATAGTTAAGTTATTAAATGTATTTATAGAAGTGGGAGGAGGAAACAATCTCAATCTAAAAGTAATTATTCTTTCTGGACAGTGTTCAAAATCCTTAATGAGCTTCTATCTCCAACTTTGCTGAACGCAGAATATCTCGTTAATCAAGACAGTTTGCATGCACCTATATAAATATAATTGTATACACACATGGGTATTTAGTAGACCCTTAGCATAATTACTTTGTACTTGGGAGCCCGCAAATATAATATATTATTTGATTTTTCAGTATCAAAATCCAAATACTACAAGAAGTTCTAGAATGTACACACTAAGGACAGATACTCTAAAATGTATTCTACTTACCTTCATGAATTCACACATAGACATATAGACATGCTCTTGTATTATTAGAATAGTATGAATCAGTAATGTTTGTTTCAAATTATTGTTCATAAAAGCAAATAAGGTCTCTTTAAAAAATGTCAAAATATTTTTTCCCTTGAGAAACTACTACTATAGGAATTTATTTGCTCGTTTTTATCAATGCATTAAAAATATTCATTTACTAAAGAATTGTTGTTGAAATTCAAGAAGTGACAGATGAATTGTTATACTGCAAAGCTGCTTGCTTCACCAGGTGGCAGTGGTGCATGCCTTTAACCCAGCACTCAGGTGGCAGAGTCAGACAGATCTCTGTGAGTTCGAGGCCAGCCTGGTCTACAGAGCTAGTTAAGAACAGGCAGCAACACTACACAGAGAAACCCTGTCTTGAAAAACTAAAAGCTAAAAACCAATAACAACAAAAAAGCTGTTTGCTTCAACCCAGATGCTTATGTGTGTCCATCGTGTTTCTAAAATTTGGGCTACCTGTAACAAACTGCCCAGTTTTAATGAGTCATATCCTCACTCTCCAGACCTTAATGGTAAACAGAAAAAAAAATTTCTCACTCCCCCCTTCGCAGTAAATATTATGTTATGGCCATATGAGAATTTTGGAGGAAAAAATAAAGAAAAAATCCCTATCCATATAAATCAATGTTGCTACATTAATCTACCCCAAGGCACCAACTTGTAACATATTCTTTGTTTTGTAGGTGTTATAATTAACAAAATAATAAAGTAAATTAATCTTTTAAATATGAAAATTTGTATATAACATTTAACTTTTCATCCATGAAAACATGCAAAAAAAATGTTACAGTCAACTGTTCATCTCTCTGACATGCGGCCCCCTGTGTATCAGATTTGCTTGGCTTGCATTTTTTTAATGCTTGCCCAATTTTTTTTTTCTCCCTTGCTTTGTGGAAGGCTGAACATGCCCTCAGGGCAGCAGTCAATACTTTCTGATGAATAGAAAGAACGTTGCTGACATAGCAAAAGCTTCAGAAGGCTTTCAAAAAAAAAAACCACGATTATCATTATATTTGGTACAGAAGTCTCAGATATTGATAGCAGCCAACGTAATTGTTTCTGCCCCTCGGAGTTTTTCTGTCATCTCTCTTCGGGCCATTCATTTCTGGCTGTATGTGGCAGTGAGGTGAAAAAGGATGGCAGCCTAGACCATTCCTGAGGGTTCACAGCAAGGCCTTGCAAGATTTACTTTTTGTGGCTCATGTTAAGTTACAATGTAGCCATAACTAGTAACACTGACAGGCTGGGGCTTTCCTTGTCACGTACTATGAAAGTAGCAGATGTGAGAGTAAGATTGGATGGACGAGGCAATCCTCTTCAGTATCGAAGGAAACTAAACGAGGGACGGCGCTGCTGCTTACTTCAGGTGCTTTGCTTTCGGGACGGCATTTTCCCCATTGGTTTCTACTTATCATCAGGATTTGAAAAAAAGAAAGTTTCTGAGTAGAATGTAAGCCACAGTGGGAAGGTCAAACTTTCTTAGCACAGACTTTTGTTTGTGCCAGGGGTCACTCTAACCTTGAATCTATTCTGAGTTGAGCTAGACACTAAAGCAACAATTTTGGTGGCAATCACAGCAACCTTAAAGGGATACGTCATGCTCCTTGTTAAACCTTTAGTAAACTAATATGGTGTTATATCATTATACTACATTTGTGTCATTCCATTTCCTGTTGAGTTAATGAAATACTCTGGGCCTCCTACTGCATAAAACAATTAAAGACATTTCAATGGAGACTGAGAGACTGAAACCAAGCCGATCCGTCTCTGTTTGCACGTCATGAGACCCACCTGGTTCATGACGTCACAAGTCCAAGAGTGGTGCTTGTAGCAAGACAGAAAGGCAGAAAAGGACTCGAGACAGGCTTGCTTGCTTGTTTGTTTGTTTGTTTATTCATTTGTGGGCGTTTTACCTGACTGTATGTGTGTACATCATATTTGGGTCTAGTGCTTAGGCTACATGGCCGTAGAGACTAGGCCTCTGGCATAAGACTCCTGTAACAGCAAACTGTATCTGAATAATAGAAACATTCATACTGACTGTAACACATAAGCTTCAGTTCCAGTGTTAAGAGGAGTATGTGACACAGTGAGTATGCTATAGGGTATGATAACTTGCTGGTTATAACCATAGATTTCTTATCCACCCTCATCCACAAAAGTCGCTTAACAGAGACACATAAAATCCATATTTGAAAGTCAAGGTAAAATTTGACTAAATCCTCAATATTGAATCCTATTAGTAACAATGCTTCTATCTTGGAGGGCTAAAAGCTTGTATGTATACTTTCCAGAATAGGACAAATAAAATAAATAAACTACCTTGAAAAGATCAGCATGCATACCTGCAGTGCAAGA